AAACAGGACCCTCTGAAACTGGACTTTTGGTCAAGTTCGGACAGGGTCTGGTTTTCTGAGTTTTATTAGAATTTGAGAGAATTTGCAGTAGGATGTGTAGGAAAATGTAGCCTGCTTATAAAATTAAGCAGCTTATTTTCCTGTAGGACGAGTGGCTCAGAAATTATTTTACGATCCCCTGTGTTTTCGAGTTATATGTGTAACATGATAACTATATTATTTGAATGTATCAAGCAAGTTGTATTAATTGTTGCATCAAGAGTGCCTTAGAATATGTTGTCTAACATTTAGATATGCATACATGTAGCTTCATTATTTTACATGTTTACCATGTCATGACTGTACAGTTTGTCTCGGCAATTGATCAGCTTTGTATATAACATTATATTATATTAAAAAAGAATGGTAGAAAGCAGCTTTGGGTATAAGCATTTTGTGGTGTTTACTTGTAGAACTTGGCTCATTGCTCCATGGTCAGTTACCCACGGTTGATTAACATGTAACATGACATGTAATCACATGTCAAATGATCAATATTAATGGTTCGGCAGTAGGTATCTGACAATGCAATGCTCATATTTAAAATGCTGTCTGACTTAAATAAAATGTTATAATTATTTATAATTGACATGATTTTCCATTCAGTCAAATTTTTCAACACTGGACCATCCTGTCTCTGAGCTGTCTTTGTAGTGTTCAGTGCTAATAAAGTTAGAGACTATGACAGTTTTCTTATTGTTCTTTTGTATAACATAGCTGGGGTTATAATATAGCTTATAATATCCTGCATACAAGATGGTGCCAACTTTACTGTCAACTATTTACATCCTTGTAGACATGTTGACATAATCTACTGCTAATCTAAGGGATGATAATATTTTAAGCATGTAAATCTAGGGCTATAGAGTGTGAAAAATTGAATTTAGAAATACGCCAACTATATAACGGTCATTAAGAAGTTTCCCCGCTTGTATGACAAAAAATCTTGACACATCTTTGACCATCATTTCTGACACAAGTTTGTACCTCAGGACGAACCATTTGCTTGAAATAAGCAAATCCTGAAACAGGAACCCAAAGTAGTTAGGTGCGAATAATTGTAAATAGGCACTCTCAACTCTTCACCTTAAAATTAATGGACTTGCCATGTGCTTTAAATTTGGAACAGTTCATTTGTTTTTTAAGGGATTTGATTGACAAAATACAAAAACAAGAGCCGGTTGAACCGGGTGATGCTCCCCGAATAGGTTTTGGACACAGGAAGATATACCTCTTGTAGTGTCAGAGTTATGTCACAGACAAAGTTCAAAGTGTAAAAATAACCCAAATGTTGTGCATGACACATTGTCTCAATATGGTGATCATTTTTGTGAAAAAGTCGTAAAATCCAACTTCAAATAACGAAGTTAAGGGGCGGACATGATTTTGCTGCAAGGTCATGCTGTGACCTTGACCTTCAAGGTAGCAACCCAAATGTTGCATGCGACACGTGGATTTAATATGATGATCATCTCTGTTAAATAGTTGTTAAATCCGACTTCAAGTAATGAAGTTATGGGCCAGACACGATTTTGCTGCAAGGTCATGCCGTGACCTTGACCTTCAAGGTGGTGACCCAAATGTTGCGCGCAACACATTGTCTCATTATGGTGATCATTTCTGTGAAATAGTTGTAAAATCCGACTTCAAATAATGAAGTTATGTGCCGGACACGATTTTGCTGCAAGGTCATGATGTGACCTTGACCTTCAAGGTAGCGACACAAATGTTGTGCATGACACGTCATCTCCATATGATGATCATTTCTGTGAAATATTTTTAAAATCGGACTTCAAATAACAAAGTTATGGACCGGACACGATTTTGCTGCAAGGTCATGCTGTGACCTTGACCTTCAAGGTAGCGAGCCAAATGTTGCGCGCGACACGTCGTCTCAATATGGTGATCATTTCTGTGAAAAAGTTTTGAAATCCGACTTCAAATAACAAAGTTATGAAACGGACACGATTTTGCTGCAAGGTCATGCTGTGACCTTGACCTTCAAGGTAGCGACCCAAATGTTGCGCGCAACACTTCGTCTTAATAGGGAGATCATTTCTGTGAAATATTTTTAAATTCTGACTTCAAATAATTAAGTTATGGACCGGACACGATTTTGCTGCAAGGTCATGCTGTGACCTTGACCTTCAAGGTAGCGAGCCAAATGTTGCGCGCAACACGTCGTCTCAATATGGTGATCATTTCTGTGAAATAGTTTTAAAATCCAACTTCAAATAACAAAGTTATGGGCCCAGACACAAATTCGGGACGTACGTATGTATGTACGTACGGACAACCCGACGACTTTATGCTCCCCTGAAATTTTTCGGGGAGCATAATAACTGTAACAAGCAATTATCATAGTATTGCAAGCAATCCATAAGTCCCCTACCGGTAAGAGCCCAAGCAACATTCTGAAGGGCCATTGGCCATTCACTTATGTTTCTATTTTAAGTAAATTTGTTGAAAAAGTTCTTTAAAAGTGATCACAGTGAACAGACAGACAGACGGACTGAAGGACAGTCTAAAGTTATTTTTTTAAACATCCCTGTTATCAAAATATAACATTTTTAAAAGCAAATTTTAAAAAAAAGGAGATAACGATGTCATTCATGATGTGAGTGTAACAAAGAACAATTAGTAATGAAGGTATGAATATTGAATATTTATTTTGAAATTGAAGTAAATGAAAGTTTAAAAGAACAAATAGGAAAATTAAAAGTTAAAGGAGGAGATAATTCTGGAAATATGGATGCTAGATTTTATAAACCTTGTCATATTATAATGATGTGGGAGTTGAAGAAAATTCTATCATGATTAGAAGTTGGAGTAAAAATTACCAATTTCTCAAAAAAAAGTCTAAGTTCAAAAGGGGCATAATTCTGGAAATAGTCTTGCTAGAGTATTGAACACTCACAAATGTTGAGTGATAATAAGAAACATTTATATGAAGTTTGAAGTAGATACGTTCAGAAAAAAGAAGTTATTAAAAAAAACAATGTTTTTTTTCATGAAAATTTTAAGTTCAAGGGAGGTAATTCTGATAAATTTTGTGCTAGAGTTGTAAACTTTGTCACATATGATGTGGTTGATATGTAGCGATTTATATTTGAAGTTTGAAGAAAATACCTTAAGAAATAAAGAATTAATAGTGAAAAAACTTAAAAACTAGAATCAGAAATCTTGAAATTCAGTCTATTTGTTGCCATAGCAACCAGAATTTTCAACACAGGAAGATAAGAAAAGGATGTGCATAATTTCCATACTGCCATCTACCCATATGTCAAGTTTCATAAAAATCTTTTCAATACTTTTTGCGTTATCACTGGATCCAGGTTATGTGTAAAATCTGCCATATTTTCAGTCTATTTGTTGCCATAGCAACCAGAATTTTCAGCATACGAAAAAAAGAAAAAGACGTGCATAATCTCCATACTGCCATCTATCCATATATCAAGTTTCATAAAAAAAATTTCAGTACTTTTTGCGTTATCGCGGGATCCAGGTTATGTGTAAAATTTGCCATATTTTCAGTCTATTTGTTGCCATAGCAACCAGAATTTTCAACATAGGAAGAAAAGAAAAAGACGTGCATAATCTCCATACTGCCATCTATCCATATACCAAGTTTCATTAAAATATTTTCAGTACTTTTTGTGTTATCGCGGGATCCAGTTTTGTGGACGGACGGACTGACGGACGGACAGACGGACGGAGGGTAAACCTAAAGTCCCCTCCGGTAGACCGGTAGGGGACTAAAAAGCATTCATTGCAATAAACATCTTGGCAAATTTGATGGCAAATAAGAATGAAATTAAATTTGATGACAAACCACACTGAGCAGTAAATGAAATTGGATATTTTAATCAGAATGGGTACATTTGGTAACGAAAATAAATGAGCCGTGTCATGACAAAACCAACATAGTCATAGTGGGTTTGCGACCAGCATGGATCCAGACCAGCCTGCGCATTCGCGCAGTCTGATCAGGATCCATGCTGTTCGCTTACCAACCCTATTACAAGTAGAGAAACTGATAGTGAACAGCATGGATCCTGATCAGACTGCGGGGATGCGCAGGCTGGTCTGGATCCATGCTGGTCGCAAACCCACTATGTTGGTTTTGTCGTGATGCGGCTCAAATATAATATCATATTAATAATATAATAGTTTACCCTTGAAGTACAAATAACTTCTCTAAGATTGATATTCATCCAGTTATCACAGCTTACTAAATGTCCGTTGTATGTTTCTCCATTCTTCAACTCCACCAACTGAATTAAACAAAACAATTCATTCATAGAAATTATAACCAAAGAATGAAATAATTTACAAGCACCATATGTGAATTTTTATTTTCAATTAATTTATTTGGTTTGATTTTTATTTACAACAACAGTGTAAAGGTCATACAGCTATAAATAGGAAGACGTCAGGTGCAGTAACCTGAGTAGTTTCACTAACTTACCTCCATAAGTGAGTCAATGTGATATACATACATGTAATTATATATAGTCACTTGCAGGACCTAAAGGGGATAAAAGTCTTTGGAAATTAATCACCCAGCCACCCATTTTATTTCATTAGCAGCTGTAAACAAGAACCGGTTGAACCGGGTGATGCTCCCCGAGAAGGTTCTGGACACAGGAAAGTATAAAAAAAATGAACAAAGGGCAAAAACTCCAAAATTAGGCAAAGCGGAGTTATGTTTTTTTGCACTGCACTTCTATTCAATGAGATCTATCTATCTATAAAGTTTCCTGATGATATCAGAGTTATGTCCCGGGTAAAAGTCAAAGAGTAAAAATGAACAAAGGGCAATAACTCCAAAATTAGACCAGGCTTTGTTTAGGTTCTTTAAGCATATCAGTTCTATCCAATTATATCTAGCTACCTACAAAGTTTCATGTTGATATCTGTAATAGTTTTAAAGTAATGTCCAGGTCAAAAGTCAAAAAGTAAAAATAAACAAAGGGCAATTACTTCAAAATAAGTCAAGGCAGAGTAATGATTCTTAAGCACTGCACTTCCACCCAATGAGACCTATCTGTCTACAAAGATTCATGTTGATATCTCTTATAAATTTAGAGTAATGTCCCAGACAAAGTTCAAAGTGTCAAAATGAACAAAGGGCAATAACTCCAAAAGTAGGCAAGACAGTGTTACAGTTCTTGTTCACTGCACACCTACTCAATGAGATCTATCTACCTACAAAGTTTCATGTTGATACCTCTTATACTTTTAGAGTTATGTCCCGGACAAAGTTCAAAGTGTAAAATAAACAAAGGGGGATAATTAACAAATTAGGCAAGGCAGAGTTACGGTTCTTGTGCACTGCACACCTACTCAATGAGATCTATCTACCTACAAAGTTTCATGTTGATACCCCTTATACTTTTAGAGTTATGTCCCGGACAAAGTTCAAAGTGTAAAATAAACAAAGGGGAATAATTCAAAAATCAGTCAAGGCAGAGTTATGGTTCTTGTGCACTGCACACTTACTCAATGAGATCTATCTACCTACAAAGTTTCATGTTGATACCTCTTATACTTTTAGAGTTATGTCCAGGACAAAGTTCAAAGTGTAAAATAAACAAAGGGGGATAATTCAAAAATTAGGCAAGGCAGAGTTACGGTTCTTGTGCACTGCACACCTACTCAATGAGATCTATCTACCTACAAAGTTTCAAGTTGATACCTCTTATACTTTTAGAGAAATGTCCCGGACAAAGTTCAAAGTGTAAAATAAACAAAGGGGGATAATTAACAAATTAGGCAAGGCAGAGTTACGGTTCTTGTGCACTGCACACCTACTCAATGAGATCTATCTACCTACAAAGTTTCATGTTGATACCTCTTATACTTTTAGAGTTATGTCCCGGACAAATTTCAAAGAGTAAAATAAACAAAGGGGGGTAATTAACAAATTAGGCAAGGCAGAGTTACGGTTCTTGTGCACTGCACACCTACTCAATGAGATCTATCTACCTACAAAGTTTCATGTTGATACCTCTTATACTTTTAGAGTTATGTCCCAGACAAAGTTCAAAGTGTAAAATAAACAAAGGGGAATAATTCAAAAATTAGGCAAGGCAGAGTTACGGTTCTTGTGCACTGCACACCTACTCAATGAGATCTATCTACCTACAAAGTTTCATGTTGATACCTCTTATACTTTTAGAGTTATGTCCCGGACAAATTTCAAAGTGTAAAATAAACAAAGGGGGGTAATTCAAAAATTAGGCAAGGCAGAGTTATGGTTCTTGTGCACTGCACACCTACTCAATGAGATCTATCTACCTACAAAGTTTCATGTTGATACCTCTTATACTTTTAGAGTTATGTCCCGGACAAAGTTCAAAGTGTAAAATAAACAAAGGGGAATAATTCAAAAATTAGGCAAGGCAGAGTTACAGTTCTTGTGCACTGCACACCTACTCAATGAGATTTATCTACCTACAAAGTTTCATGTTGATACCTCTTGTTGTTTCAAAGTTATGTCCCGGACAAGAAAAGGGGACGGACGGACGGAAAGACGGACGGACGGACAAGGCGGCGACTATATGCTCCCCCGAAATTTTTTCGGGGAGCATAAAAATGAGTTACTGATGGTTTAGAACTTGGTATTAAATTGCATAAATGTCTATACTGGTAAGACAGGCTAATAACTTGGTTCCTGCAGGATAAGTGTAACCATGTAATAGACTCAAACTGGAATTTAAGAATATTTGGGTTTAACCAAGCTAATCCGTTGGTACAAACAAACTTTTACAGTTACAGCTTCGACATTAACAGCTTCGAAAATAAGCCCAACAGATTGACTACTAGTAATCTATTGTGACTGGTAATGCACTGTGAAGCTATAACGGTAAAAGTTTGTTTGTACCTACGAAATCCACATTTGCCGAGTTCCGGATACCATGTATTACTTAGTCATTGTGAGAAGATTAAATAAATAGGTACACATCTTCAGGTGTTTCATTACACTTATAAACAAATCATCAACAAAGCAATCAATATAAAAATACTTTTATTTTCTATTTTCCATTGTATACATAATAAAGAATAATGTCCACGCCTCAAATTAATAAATTAAATAAAGTCGCTCTTCTACAAATGTATAAGGAAATTCAAAACAGTTGTTTTTCTAAAAGAAAATTAAAAACAATCGCTCTCCTAACAGAAAATTCAGCACAACCAAGTTTCCTAGGAACATTTTGTTGCAGTATTATTTATTATCATTCAAACTATGTGTGAAATACATGATGACATCATTGCTATTTATAGTAACACTTAAACCATTTGCACTGATCTCAAAAATGTCTGGGATGTACTTCTCTTTAACATTTTAAAGTTTCCTCTTTTTTAGTTACAAAAGGCGAAAAAGAAAACACTAAAATAGAGAAAACAATAGCTGAATTTAATGTCCTGGCTTTCCTCATTTGCTGAAAATAAGATTTTTACTAGAGAAAGTATAGAACAAAAACAGAAAATTGCTAAAAAAGTACATATTTAAAAAGCAAATAAACAGAGGGACTGTTGTGACTGAGGTTTATTTCAGACCTCTTTTCATTAAAAGGTCTTTTTTCACCTTTACATTATCATTGTACATTACTAAATAATTACTATAACAATGATGTCTGGCTATTTACCCCCCACCCCCTGCTCCCTACCCAACCACTCCAGTTATCTTTCTTTCTTTTTTATATCTGAAAACCATTTATCCAGCTACCTTCTTTTAAAATTTCTAAAAACCAGTTACATGTATAACTTGAATTTCAGAAAACTAGTTAATCATTATCGTATTTAAAATTTCTGAAAACCAGTTATCTTTTTCATTTAGAATTTCTGAAAACTACTTATTCAGTTATCTTATTTAATATTTCTGAATTTTTTCATTTAGAATTTCAGAAAACTAGTCCTCCAGTTATCTTAATTTAAAATTTCCAAAAACCAGTTATCTTTCTGAAATCCAGTTATCTATAAAATTTCTGAGGAAGAGTTACCTTCTTTTAACATTTCTGTAAACCAATTATCTTTTTAAATACCATTTGTAGCCTAATTGATAAAGCACATTTATTATGAGACAGGACAACATAATATAAACATTTCCCGAACATAAAAAGACGTAGGAAACAAATAAACATGTGTAAAACAATATATACTCAATACAATATCACAGATAAAATTGATAAAAAATTCAAGAATAAAACACACTTATGTCCAGATCAAGATCCCCTAACAGCAATACATTTCTGTAGAATTCACTCTATATATATCTACATAATTTTACTGGTGCGACACACTTCCTTCAACATGATTACCAAAACTTTCCAATTCGGTTACCAAGGGCAACCAATATTTGCTCTTAGTCTAAATACAAGCATGGAAAATGCAAAAGTCTACAAATTTCTTTCTTGAAAAAAGAAGAAAAACAAATAAAATCTTGGTACAGTTTAGTGGAAAAAAATAAAACTAATATTCACTGGCGAAATAAAAATACAATTACATTACAAGACATAAGGGAAACTTTTGGACGGATAAAAATTTAATATTATTAGGTAAATGACCTGGCAGTATAATAAAAGCCAAAGAATAACTTTTTTCTGATGATAATAATAATAGTTACTGTCAAACATCGTCTCTGACAAACAGTCAATAGAAAAGAAAATAGTAGCCATTCCGGCATTTAAAATATTTAACTACAAGCCTGATTTATTGGTAAATGTCTTTTATAAGTTATGATTTTTTGATAATGGATTCAATTATATAGATTGGTCATATGGATTCAACTGCACAAGCTACCCAGTCCTTAAGGGGTTCAACTGTGGTCCTTGTGATCAGGGTTTTACTGTACTTGCCTGTATGTTTAGTAAAGGTTTCCAGTCTGTACAAATCACAATGAATATTTGAAAATCAAATTTAAGAATATGATAAAAGCAAGGTGCCGATTGCCTAATTAAAACATTTTTTATAGATAAAAAAAACTACAGACTATTAAAACTGACATACAGGTTTATTTAAGACCAATCATTTAAAAAAAAAAATTGAGTTTTAATCTTTCCTACAAGAAAAAAATGTTAAACAATAATACAATGACTGTTATGAAGGTATATATAAAGAATATAAGTACCACAGAAGCACCATACAGGGCATGAATGCTTTTTCCCATAGTATTATACTACAATAATCATAGATTTGGCGAGTTTTGACGCAAAACAGTCTTAAGTCTTATGACATAAAGAACCAGTTATAACCTGTTTCACACAAAGTCCTCATGATGTATATAGAAAATTCTATCACTAATACACATAATTTTCTCATGATGCTTCACTTCTGAAGTTTTCACAACACAAAATTATAAATGCTGAACAAATAACACTAGTTCTAAACAATTTCCTTTTCAATATGATACCAAGTATCGAAAATTAATCAAAGACTAAACAAATTGTACATTGCTTCAATTTGTCCACAGTTTCAAATGCAAGATAATATCACCAACACAAAAAAACGTTAAAATTTTTTTTACAAATTTAAAACTTCAGCAAGTTTTGTTGTTAAAAAATAAAATTGTGTAAACTTTTAGAGATTTATCTTGTAAGAACAAAACTATACTTATTTGTGAACTGTTCATATATTTTTCTTTAAGTTTTGGCCATTGAAAAAATAAGGTATACATGCCCGTGTAGACAGATCCTAGAATATCAAAACAGAAAATCTCCAAAGTTAAACAAAGTATCATTGATTTCTAGCATACTAAACTGATCGCAATACTGGAAAATCGATTCAGATAAATCATAATTATACACCTTTCATTGATAAACAATAAAAGAATTATCAATAAAAAAAATCTCGTCCTAATTTGAATATAAAATACCTAAAAAATATACGTAAATAAATATTGTATATAAAAATGCTTAAAATAGTTCTTTGCAGTGTCATGGATATCCTGACCTCTTTGGCGTAAAGGCATATTTTAAAATGTCACCGAAATTAGGAAGTTTAAAAAATGAAACTGCAACTAGGGGTTAGACGTGTGACTCTCGAGCCGATCCGGGTTACAAACCAAAATTTCTCCCGCCTAAAATAATCGAAGAACAAAATTTATTTTTTTCGAAATCTTTTTTTAAAAAAAATTTTTTTTTAAACTTTTTTAAATATAATTCATAATGGTTAAAAATTACACAGATTAACAGTCAAAGTTGAATTTGAACTTTAAAATGGTGGATAAAGACCCGGGCCGCCTCCCTGCCTTAATTTAACACGAATAGCTCAAAGAAAAATTTAAGACCTTTGGAATACTGCTAAATAATACAAAAACAAGATACACCATAATAATTGAATGAACAGAAAATTGTATTTTAATGAAATCATTTTGAAAGTCAATTACAGACATGTAATTATAAGTTATAATCGATATATCAGTGTATCGTCGATATTTGTCATTTGATATTGATATATCGTCAATATGCTATGCACTTAATCAATGACAGCTGTCATCATCAGTCGTTACTCCTTGTTTTCTACTAAATATACAAATATAAAAGCTACACTGATAAATAAGAAATCAAATCTTTAATCGTTCACAAACACACAGTAAATCGTAAATTTTTGGTGACCAAGCAGACTTTGATAATAGAATTGAGCCGCATCACGACAAAACAAACATAATGGGTTTGCGACCAGCATGGATCCAGACCAGTCTGCGCATCCGTGCAGTCTGATCAGGATCCATGATGTTCTTATCAGTTTCTCTACTTGCTATAGGGTTTGTAAGCGAACAGCATGGATCCTGATCAGACTGCACGGATGCGCAGGCTGGTCTGGATCCATGCTGGTCGCAAACCCATTATGTTGGTTTTTTCAAGACGCGGCTCATTTATAGATTTATTAATCAGTACCTCTTCTTTTTCACGCTTGATGCGAGCAACTTCTGCACGTGTTTGACTGAGCTGTGATTCAAGGTCGACGATACGTGTTTGTAACGTGCGTTCCTTGGACTGCTGCTTGTCTCGTGTCTGCTCTTGCTGACGTCGAAGGTCGGTGAGGGCTCCCTCTAACTGGCGAGTTAAACTGGCATTTTCTCTCTCCCGGTCTTCCAGCCTTAACTATATTTAAAATATATGAACAGAAACTGAAATTTATTTCGTTAATTTTACAATGTATTATACCAGAAATGGTAGTCGATAAGTAAGACATTCTGGTGAGTACTTCAATAATAAGGTAACATTAATAATAATATGATTTTTAACTCTTTACACATATCTTTTTCAAATGATATGATGATATTGTAATGCAGGGTTTATTGAAAACAGCACCTCTGCAATTCTCAATGTTCTCTATACATTATCATATCTTTTCTGTCTTGAAAAATCTTTATTCGTAATAAAGTAGTATTTTTATAGAAATAGTGACTTTGACCAAACCAATGAAATGCTCCTACCGCAAGCAGTATGACAATATTGTCAAACTGTAAAAATAAGCAAAAATTCAATTTTACCATCTTAAAAGTCAATTTTACTTTGATTGATCAAAAGGGTTTTCCAACTAAACCAAATACCTTTTATCAATAACTATTTTTAAACCCCAAGCTTATCTTCAAAAATTATCTTTTTCTTTCCTTTTAACGTCACAACGATATGGCTAAGGTCATATGGCAATTACACACCCCTGGTAAAATTTTGACTACAGTAAAATTTCAATACTGGTAGAGTTACATGCCCCTGGTAGTATTTTGAATACCTTTTCAATACATGTATAAAACTTATAGAAACATCATTTATTTACACATACATTGTTCTGATGTAAGGCCTCCTCCCTCCTGGCTACAGTTGTCAACAGCTCCCTATTCTGCTCCTCTGCGTCCTGAAGTCGTCTGTAATAATAATTCATAATCTATATGTATACATGTGTTCAATTAGACCCCCCAAAAAGTTTCTTGTTTCTGTGCAAGAGAAATGTGGTAGGTTATGAGTAGGGATTTCTTTATGAAAATATATACATTTTTTATAATAATTTTCATTTATATACATATGTATATTAAAAAGAAAAGATTTATAAAGCATTGTATAGTTGATTGTAATAAAAATAAATTATGTGTATAGATTGAATGCACAATTAGGCAAAGGGGGAGAGTTATGTTTCTTGTCTGTGATTAAGGTTTGAATAAGATTTTTGTTTATGTAATCAATATATTCATTTTTCATTACATTTTTTTAAGGGTTTAGGGTCAAAGCAACTTTCTAGCATTACTGATGAAGACCCCGGTTAGTATGTTTGTTTCATTGGGTTTTACGTTACACCAACACAGTATAGGTCATATGGAGACATTCCAGCTTTACTGGTGGAGGAAGACCTGCCTTTCATGCATTATTTTAGGCACAAACTGGCACCCGAGTAGAACCACGGGCGTTCCTTCAGCTAGCTGGATAGCTTCCTCACGTGAAACAATCTCTGTCAGGATTCAGACCCACAGCGGTGAGGAGCAAATAATTTGAAATCAACGACCTTAACCACTCAGCCATGAACGCCCTCATGAAGACCCCAGTTTGTTTGTTTCTTTGATTGGGTTTTATGTCACACCGACGCAGTATATGTCATATGGCCACATTCCAGCTTTACTGGTGGAGGAAGACCTCAGGTGCCTTTTTGTGCATTATTTCAGGCACAAACTGGCACCTGAGTAGAACCACCGGCATTCTGTCAGCTAGCTGGATAGCTTCCTCACTTAAAAGAATCCAAAGTCCCTATAGGCATTCGAGTCCACAGTGGTGTGGAGTAAGTAGCTTGAAGTCAACGACCTTAACCACTCGGCCAGTGATGCCCCCATGAAAATCCCAGGTACCCCTTTCATGCATATGAGTAGAATATCAACCTTCTGTGAGCTAGCTGAATAGCTTACATACATGAAATAATTCAAAACCCATTCCTGAATGCACACTAAACAATGATGAGGGGCAAAATATATAAGGTAGCTCAGCCACAGAAATAAAGGGAGATAATTAATGTATTTATAAAAAATTTATGAAGAAAAATAAAATTTGTTAAAAAAGGAACAAAACAGAAATACATATCATTCCTTGTGCTGAAAAATGTGTGAATAAAAAAATAGAATAAAAACCATTCAAATATTTTAAACTTTTGTCTGTAAAATAAAAATATTTATATGTGAACATGCAATTAGATCAATTTGTATGAATTGATATGTAAAAAAACAATAAGAAAGTGTCTCTTACAGAAAGAAAAAAAAATAATGCTTAACATTGGTGAATAAATCATGATGCACAATTTATCAAATTCAAGGCAATCCACAAGTGTGCATGATAATTTAGCTAAAATGTATGTAACTGTTACATATATGAATTCCTTAGAGCGAAAATAAGAAGAAAAAAAAAGAAATCTCTTCTAAATGTGTGCATAAATTCATTGTAAAATGATTTTAAGTGTCTGTACATGCAATGAATTGTGACTTAAAATTCTTGAAACTGAAAAATAAGTGTGTGCAAAGATGCATTGTTAAGTGTATATATACAACAATTACTGTTATATAAGTAAAGCACAACATAAATATTGTTTTACTTCATAAAGTAGTCCATTTGGTTGTTGGTCTGAATATTCCCAACAACCTGTCTTCCACTGCTGTATCAATGTCACAAAATTATTCATTAATTATCGCATATTATATGTTGAAAGTTAAGTCGTTTATAAATGTAATTGTAAAAATGATAGAAAAGCCTGTTCAACTATTGAAAGAGCTGTCAGTAGGACAGCATGCTTGATTATTCTTAGTGCCTGATAATAAAACAAGATCCTAGACAATGTAATTTCTTAAAATAATACATGTATATTAAGTTTACCTTTCAAGGGTGACAACTCTGTCATTCATGGAGTGGTTATCATTTTAGGTACCATGTAATTTCTTAAAATACTACATGTATATTAAGTTTACCTTTCAAGGGTGACAACTCTGTCATTCATGGAGTGGTTATCATTTTAGGTACCATGTAATTTCTTAAAATAATACATGTATATGAAGTTTACCTTTCAAGGGTGACAACTCTGTCATTCATGGAGTGGTTATCATTTTGGGTACATTGTAATTTCTTGAAATAATACAAGTATATTAAGTTTACCTTTCAAGGGTGACAACTCTGTCATTCATGGAGTGATTATCAGTTTGGGTACCTTGTAATTTCTTAAAATAATACATGTATATTAAGTTTACCTTTCAAGGGTGACAACTCTGTCATTCATGGAGTGGTTATCAGTTTGGGTACCTTGTAATTTCTTATAATAATACATGTATATTAAGTTTACCTTTCAAGGGTGACAACTCTGTCATTCATGGAGTGGTTATCAGTTTGGGTACCTTGTAATTTCTTAAAATAATACATGTATATTAAGTTTACCTTTCAAGGGTGACAACTCTGTCATTCATGGAGTGATTGTCAGTTTGGGTACCTTGTAATTTCTCCTTCATCCTTTCCATGGTCTCTGTCAATGTTTCAACCTAGACAATAAATAACAACAATATAAGAGAAAACATTTGTCTTTCAGTTTGATTTAAAGTTGTACGAACATAGTTTAAGGGACATTATGTCCATCCAAAAATAAATGGCCAATGTTCAGGTAAAATTAAAATAACTTTACATTTTGTCGTATTTGTTTTCAATTTTATACCGGTAATTAAATGTCACCCGAGTAATCAATAACCCCTTTGACCAACACAAATACTTAGTATCTATAAATGTCCTTTAGAAAATATCTGTAATATTCAATTCATATAAAGAGTGGGGCAGTCTTTTTTTTTTTAATTTTATCATTTCTGTTTATCAATTATAACACTAGTAATCCTTGCAGTAACTTTAAAATTCTGCATCACAGTAAAAAAGGACACCATTGCCGAAAAAAAAATTAAAATAATTTCTATCTTACCTTTCCTTGTAATTCTGAAATGATTTTAGAATTTTCAACATTTCTACGTTCCGAGTTTCTCAGACTATCTTCAGACTCATGTAACCGTAACTCTGTGTTCTTTAACATTTCTGGCAGGGGCTGTAACTCTTGCAGTCTGTCTTGGAGCTGTGTTTTAACCTGTAGAATAACAAAATAAAAACATGTCAGAATCATTCTTTTGGCAGTGAAGGGCGCTATATATGTAACCTTGTTGAAAAATGTTTAATGAAAAATGTTTAATGAGTTGCGATACATAATTATACTATGAAACAAATGTAAGTAACTCAGAAGATGACAATGTCACTTGAAACATCTGAGGAAGGAAATTCAATGGTGTAGGGTTACTACTTCATCATGCACCTGCAATATGCTTAAAATCAGACTATTTTTTTATGTAAACATCCTGTTGAATCAAAGATAAAATATGTTTTTAATCTAAGAAATCATTTTAACATCTAAGATTGACTTTAGTACTTGATATAAGTTTTTTAAACATTTTATTAGTTTTTATTGTCTGGTTTAAGCCTGAAAACACAATAAATTTTGTTTGTGAGTTCAGAGTGGGAGCATTTAGGAAAAACAACTTTATCCTGTTTCCAAACTGACAATTCCTCAAGATGAAAGATATGGATTCAAACTTTACAAAATTAGAGTTTATCTATTTCATAATGCTGCTGATTTTGTTGAAACTTCATTGATGTGATTTCCAATAAATGATATCTAAACATATCAGTGCTCCTTACAACATCAACTTTAAAACTTTTGTACTAAATAATTCAGTACAATTATTTTTTTAATCTTAAAAAAAAGGTGCTTTTTCATCATTCAAAGGAAGTAATAGTCACTAAGTGCATAAAATTAACAGAATTTTTTTATCCAGTTATATAATTATTATTACTTGTGAATTTTTTTCTCTTGTAAACAGACATAACTTTTGTGAAATATGCAATTATTACAACATAATTTACAACATGGCTGACTGGTACCTGGCCTGGAGCTGACACTGTCGTCTGCTGAGAAACAAGAAACACACACGTAAACCACATAAACATCACGTAACATGTAGAAGTACAAAATGCTTTGATAATTAACCTGAAGTTATGTAATGAACTTGTCCTGCATTGAATTTGGAACAGTCCATTCAAATTTTAAAGAGTTTCAATTTAACAAAATAGCAAAAATTTATTAAATGACAATTATATAGTATGGTCTGACTGCACTTAAGTTCAGAACTACTGTTTTCATAATTTGCTCTGTACCAGAACAATAAAGAAAATTGGTCATGAACCACTATTAATAAAGTTGTAAATATTACTAAAACTTAAATAAACCTTTAGTTTATAAACATGCAAAACAATATTACAAAAGGAATTTTTAGATGTCAATGGTATAATTTCTACTCAAACTTATCCCCTCAAAAAAGTCTGATGATACTTGTTCTAAGTACTTTTAAATATCCAATCAACTACAAGAATTCAAGACTGGTTCCAGAGTATATTTATTTTCATCAGTAACCCAGTAAACAGTCTGGTTTCAAATCTTATTATTCCTAATTAACTTTAAATAGGCTGGTTTACCTATTCATAAATAGCAGCATCAATATCAAATGAAGGATCTTTCTTTTGCAAAAATTACTTTTATGCCATGAATAAACAATTACCTATTTCATACCAAATCATTCTGTGCGACCAGCAACCAACAGCCCAGTGCAATAGCCAAACACACAGAGACCAAAACAATACAAGAGGGCCATGATGGCCCTAGATCGCTCACCTGATTTATCAAACTCATCCAAACAATTACCTAGACAAGCATTCTGACCAAGTCTCATGACAGGTGAGTCAAAAATGTGACCACTACAGTGTTAACAAGGATTATCCATATTTGAGCAGTGGGACCTAGTTTTTTACCCAGGTGACACATATTCAAACTTGACCTAGAAATCATCAAAACAAACTTTTAGACCAATTTCAAGGATACTTGGATCAAAACAGTAGCAACTAGAGTGTTAACAAGATTTTTCTATTTTTAGCTCCGGTGACCTAGTTCCACATGCGATTTCGAACTCATCCAAGCAATTACCTATACAAGCATCCTGACCAAGTTTGATGATAATTGAGTCGAAAATGTGACCACTAGAATGTTAACAAGGTTTTTCCATATTTGGGCGGTGTGACCTAGTTTTTTTCATCCAAGATGACCAATGTTCGAACTTGACTTAGAAATCATCAAAACAAACTTTCAGACCAATTAACAGAATATTTGGATCACAACAGTAGCCACTAGAGTGTTAACAAGATTTTTCTATTTTTAGCTCCGGTGACCTACTTTTTTATCCGAGATGACCCATGTTCAATTTCTTCCTAGCAATGACCTAGACAAGTTTCCTGACCAAGTTTGATGACAATTGAGTCAAAATTGTGACCACTAGAGTGTTAACAAGGTTTTTCTATTTTTAGCTCCTGTGACCTAGTTTTTCATCCGAGATGACCCATGTTCGAACTCATCCGAGCTATCACCTAGACAAGCATCTTGATCAAGTTTGATGATGATTGATGCAAAAATGTGACCACTAGAGTGTTAACAAGGTTTTTCTATTTTTAGCTCCGGTGACCTACTTTTTCATCCGAGATGACCCATGTTTACACTCATCCGAGCTATCAACTAGATAAGCATCCTGACCAAGTTTGATGATGATTGATGCAAAAATGTGACCGCTAGAGTGTTAACAAGGTTTTTCTATTTTTAGCTCCGGTGACCTACTTTTTCATCCGAGATGACCCATGTTCGAACTCATCCGAGCTATCACCTAGACAAGCGTCTTGACCAAGTTTGATGATGATTGATGCAAAAATGTGACCGCTAGAGTGTTAACAAGGTTTTTCTATTTTTAGCTCCGGTGACCTACTTTTTCATCCGAGATGACCCATGTTCGAACTCATCCGAGCTATCACCTAGACAAACATCCTGACCAAGTTTGATGATGATTGAGGCAAAAATGTGACCTCTAGAGTGTTAACAAGGTTTTTCTATTTTTAGCTCTTGTGACCTAGTTTCTCATCCGAGATGACCCATGTTCGAACTCATCCGAGCTATCAACTAGATAAGCATCCTGACCAAGTTTGATGATGATTGAGGCAAAAATGTGACCGCTAGAGTGTTAACAACTAAATGTGAACGGACGACGGACGGACGGACGACGGACAATCATCGATCCTAAAAGCTCACCCTGAGCATGCTCAGGTGAGCTAATAATGGACAACCACAGCATATTTTTCATTTGTATAAAGATTTCAGCAGCTGTCACTCTGTAAATCATGTGATAATTAGCCACACCTCTGGCAAAAAAACTCAGCCATCAAACACAATTAACCCTAGCCCCTGTGTATAAATAACAAAAAAGTCATTCTATGAATAAGTATGTTGCTTTAATTTATGAGGTGCAGTTACCCAGTAACCATGACTTTTATCATATTTCTTTAGCCAATCATTAACACATTAATATTAGCAAAGCCCTGTACATATATTATGAGGTGTGTCATGAGATTCTCGCTAAATCATGTGACGCAATAACCACACCTCCAGCAAGTCTCTTGAGCCATCCACAAACAAGGTAGAACTGAAGGGTGTGTCCACAGACTCTTACTTAATCATGTGACACTCTAACCACACCTCTAGCAAGTCTCTTGAGCCACCCACAAACAAGGTAGAACTAAAGGGTGTGTCAACAAATTCTTGCTAAATCATGTGACACATTAACCACACCTCTAGCAAGTCTCTAGAGCCACGTATACAAACAAGAATCAATTATTTGTGTAGAAATCATGTGACACATTAACCACGCCTCTGGCAAGTTATTCTCCAACTAAGCACTCAAAAAACAAGTTACTGAAGCCCCAGTGCATGTTATATACCTGACTATATGTTCCCGACTTTCTCTTTGACCTTAACCTTGGTAATAATACCTGAATCAAATAAATGTTGCCTTTATATACTGTCATTCTTCACCTTTTATTCATTGTCTATGACGTTACATAATATTATGTAATACTATAGTTTTGTTGTATGTTTAAGTTACACCAAAAATATCAGGGTCTATGTTAACTGTCAAGTTCTCGTGTTGCAGGACAATACATGCAATACATCAGGTGCCACTTCATGCATTATTTCAGGCAACAACAGGCACTTGAGTAAGAACTATTAACCTAATTAAGCTAGTTTCCTTACAGGTGAGAGTTTAAGTGATGTTACAAACATGCAGTATTATAAAAATCTGTACACTTTTAAAATAAACAACTACTTTTATTTTACTATCAAGAAAAACTTGAGCATCCATGAAACAAATTAAGAAAAAAGTTCTTAAAATCAGGAATGATAAATTTATGAATAAACAAGAGGGCCATGATGGCCCTGAGGTCGCTCACCTGTATATAGGCCCCCCCACCCCCGGGCCAATTTTTACCCAAGGGCTTTTATTTGTTTATTTGAACAGACTTGGTAGACACCCATAAGAAGATGTTTCATGCTAAACATCTAAGTTCTAGCTCATTGGGTTTTTTAAAAGAAGATTTTTATAGTTTTTACTATACACATACATGTATAGTTAAAATCAATGACACCCCTGGAGCAGGGCCAGTTTTGACCCCAGGGCTTTTATTTGAACAAACTTTGTAGATATTTACTTAAAGATGTTTCATGCTTAATATCTAAACTCTAGCTATTTGGGTTTTTTCAAAGAAGATTTTTAAGTTTTTGCTTTACACATATAAGGAAAATCAATGACCCCCCCCCCCCCCCCCCCGGGCGAGGCCAGTTTTGACCCCAGGGCTTTTATTTGAACAAACTTGGTAGACACCCATAAGAACATGTTTCATGCTAAATATCTTAGCTCTAGCTTATTGAGTTCTTTAAAAGAAGATTTTTTAAGTTTTAACTATATGCATATAGGGAAAATCAATGACCCCCTGGGGCGGGGCCAATTTTGACCCCAGGGCTTTTATTTGAACAAACTTGGTAGACACTCATTAGAAGATGTTTCATGCTAAATATCTTAGCTCTAGCTCTTTGGGTTCTTTAAAAGAAGATTTTTGAAGTTTTTACAATATGCATATAGGGAAAATCTATGACCCCCTGGGGCGGGGTCAATTTTGACCCCAGGGCTTTTATTTGAACAAACTTGGTAGACATTCACTAGAAGATGTTTCATGCCAAATATCTAAGCTCTAGCTCTTATGGTTCTTTAAAAGAAGATTTTTTAAGTTTTTACTATATGCATATAGGGAAAATCAATGACCCCCTGGGGCGGGGCCAATTTTGACCCCAGGGCTTTTATTTGAACAAACTTGGTAGACACTCATTAGAAGATGTTTCATGCTAAATATCTTAGCTCTAGCTCTTTGGGTTCTTTAAAAGAAGATTTTTTAAGTTTTTACAATATGCATATAGGGAAAATCTATGACCCCCTGGGGCGGGGTCAATTTTGACCCCAGGGCTTTTATTTGAACAAACTTGGTAGACATTCACTAGAAGATGTTTCATGCCAAATATCTAAGCTCTAGCTCTTTGGGTTCTTTAAAAGAAGATTTTTTAAGTTTTTACTATATGCATATAGGGAAAATCAATGACCCCCTGGGGCGGGGCCAATTTTGACCCCAGGGCTTTAATTTGAACAAACTTGGTACACACTCACTAGAAGATGTTTCATGCTTAATATCTTAGCTCTAGCTCTTTGGGTTCTTTAAAAGAAGATTTTTGAAGTTTTTACAATATGCATATAGGGAAAATCAATGACCCCCTGGGGCGGGGCCAATTTTGACCCCAGGGCTTTTATTTGAACAAACTTGGTAGACATTCACTAGAAGATGTTTCATGCTTAATATCTAAGCTCTAGCTCGTACAGTTCTTTAAAAGAAGATTTTTAAGTTTTTACTATATGCATATAGGGAAAATCAATGACCCCCCGGGGCGGGGCCAGTTTTGACCCCAGGGCTTTTATTTGAACAAACTTGGTAGACATTCACTAGAAGATGTTTCATGCTTAATATCTTAGCTCTAGCTCTTACGGTTCTTTAAAAGAAGAATTTTTCAGTTTTTACTATATGCATATAGGGAAAATCAATGACCCCCTGGGGCGGGGCCAATTTTGACCCCAGGGCTTTTATTTGAACAAACTTGGTAGACACTCACTAGAAGATGTTTTATGCCAAATATCTTAGCTCTAGCTCTTTGGGTTCTTTAAAAGAAGATTTTTTAAAGTTTTTACTATATGCATATAGGGAAAATCAATGACCCCCTGGGGCGGGGCCAATTTTGACCCCAGGGCTTTTATTTGAACAAACTTGGTAGACACTTACTAGAAGATGTTTCATGCCAAATATCTAAGCTCTAGCTCTTAGGGTTGTTTAAAAGAAGATATTTAAAGATTTTTCTTTCGGTTGCCATGGCAACCAGAGTTCTGCATGGAATTAAATTCTTAGAACAATTTTTAAAGGTGACCACCAAAGGAACATTCCTGTGAAGTTTGGATGAAATTGGCTCAGTGGTTTATGAGGAGATGTCATTTAAAGCAAAAGTTTACGGACGGACGGACGATGGACGGACGGACGCCGGACGAAAAGCGATCACAAAAGCTCACCCTGTCACTTTGTGACAGGTGAGCTAAAAAGTGAGAAAAACTACTTGGATTGATACAGGAAACTTGGATAGTTGAGCATCATAAGTTAAAACCTTTTTTCTTCGCTTTTCAGAAGAGAATTATGTCTATCATTTCAATAAACAAAAGTTATCAATTTAAGAAATCTTAATGTACATACAATAAAAATTCGACCTTTCAACTCTGTAAAACAAAGGACATCAAAAGTTCATGAATCATTTACATAATTATTCTGTAAATGCAACAGTAAAATTTTAATACATTTCACAAAAACAACAAAAAACACCAAACATTCAACGCAACACACAAAAGCAACAAAACTCTTAACAGTGAACATTTTGATTATTGTGAACAGTGAACAATGATAGAGTTGTGAACAGTGAACAATGATGTGAACAGTGAAGTTATTTACCGCACATAGGACAACACAGAAAGAAGTACAGGACAATATTTGTGACTGCAGCTGTAAGAGATAAGATATCCCCAGTCTTTGTGCATTGTTATTGCAAGTTGTTGTTAATGTTTTATTACGACAATACTAATAATATATAGAGGATATTGAATGAATGTAGTTTAATACTAAATTTATTGAACGAGTTGAATAAAATCATATTATGCGAGCCTCTGGCGAGCACAATATTGTTTTATTCAACTCGTTCAATAAATTTAGTATTGAATCTACACGAATATGATATTCTTTTTATCACATATATAAACTAAGAACAGTAAACTGTTGAAATGAGTTATTTTTCAATGACGCAGTTATAGTGTAACGCTAACATTAGCGCGCTTTAATGCTATGTTTCTATATAGCGCAAAATAATGACGTCACGTCAAAGTGTTATTACACTAGTGTAATATCGTTTCTATTAAATGGCTTTATTACACTCCTGTGCCGCGGTTTATGTGATAAAATACAGTATTTCCTAACTTCAATACTTCACACTGATACATAGTTTATGCTGCTAAACTTTTCTACCTCAAGGGTATAAATCTATATCCTATGAAATATTTCTATAAAATTTATCAACAGTACAATTATATTGTTTCCGTTATAATATGGCTTATTCCCTAAAAAGCTGTAACATAAAATGTTTCTGTTATTTAATACACATGAAAAATTTACGCAAACAGAATAAAATGTTCCGGCCATTTTACCTGTTTAGCAAAGACTTTTTCTTATGATAATATACTTGTATATTATATGTACATTGTATATAATGTATTGTGTTTAGTGGTTAAACAATACTTTTGTTAAATGTTATAACATTAATCAGCAAGCAGTAACTTGACTAATTGTTAAAGGAATAACTGTTAGTTATTATCCTAACTATAAATAGCAAGATTATGTCCCTTTGTTGTTTATTTATTTATTTATTGTTACATTGTTATATATAGAGCATACATTGTTATATATAGCATACTGTGAGGATTATTTGTGAAGAATTTACAATGGCAATACAAAATGAAGATACAATAGGCATGCTGGAGATATAGGAATAAGCCATTAATGAAAGCCATTATACTAATTTAAATAATACTTCATGCATTAAATGCTCACTAAAATATATATAATGCACATTTATTTCATGCATAATGTTAAAGACCATCCCTTTACAATGATATTACTCAAAATCAAAACCCAATATAAAGGGGAGGTGACTCTCATTTAAAACCCAATATAAAGGGAGATGATTCTCAAGTTTCAATTAATATCCAGTTAAAAAAGGGGAGGTGACTCTTATGTCACAGTTGACAAAAACATTCAGAGTAGCTTGCCTTTTCTAGTTCAGCCTCACTATCTTCTCTGAGACGCTCAGAGTCCTTTTTTGTCTCGCGGAGTTCAAAGGTCGTCTCGTCTGCTTCCCGCCTGGACTGGTTCATCTGTAGAAAATGAGGAAAGTGATGCTACCAGCCTAATGACCTAGTTTTAAGGTAAATCTACTGATTCTATTCATTTTTCAAGTTTCTGAAATTTTGTCTATGGTATTTTTATACAATTTATAGCTTGTACATATAATCTCAGCAAGTTCTGTTATCTTCCAATGCTGGTATTTGAAATGGATGATAAACAAGAGCTATCACGCAAGTGACGAATGCCCCGGAAAAGGTTTCTTAAGCATGCAGATATTAAGAAAAGAAAAGAGAATGTAAGTAACTAATTGCTTAATATTGTTCCTGTGAAATGAAGTGCTATTTATAGCAAACTTCACACCTTGGGACAAAGGTCTTGGATGCGACACATCATCTCGATGTGGTAGACATTTGTGCAAAGCTTTTTTAAAATCCATTAATGTATGACAAAGTTACAGTTTGGACACAAATGAAGAGGGGATGCACAGACAGACGGATGGACAGAGCATTTTAATATGCCGCCCTTTGGGAGCATAAGAATATGTACAACCATTTTATTTGATAACACTTACTTGATCTTGTAAGAAAATGGAAAATGATGAAAAACAGGTTGAATTAGCACAAGTTTACTGCAGAAATTTTATTATCCTATACAATTCTCAATAACAAATCAAAACATACGATTCTGTTCTTTATAAAAATGTCACTAATAATCGATTTCTTTAAAAAATACCAAATTTTGCGACAAAAAGACACCACCGAATTATTAAGAATGTCACTTCTATATTCCATAGGCCACTTATTTTTTCAAACTGGCAATATCATTATATGTACACATACTATAGTATGTATTAATTCAAAAAAATAAAATAAAAATCATATAAAACCAGTAGATGTACCACTACAAGAGATTCTAACAAGCTACAAGCTTTTCATATCATCACACCATACTTCCGATAATTTAAAACTTGCCATGCATTCTGAATCACTGTTTTTATATTCAAATAAATACTTTTCCTTTATAATATAATGAAGCATGCAAACTAAGTTAATGAGAACATTTTTTATGATTATTTCTTGCATAATTTTAGCAAAGCCTGCATCTATTGGAATAATTTATTTAAATCCAAAAAAAGATATAAATACTCCAACCCCTATCAAACTGGACTGGATCTTTCGAGGACTAGTGTCAAATTTGTAGACTTAAGTGTTTACATTCAAGTGGCCTAGACCTAAAAGTTCTACAGACCCTTTTATGAACAGAACTAAATGGTTTCAGACATTTTTTATACTTTGTCTTCATCTTAGTGCACTTTTTTATATACAAACATAAGGTAGGCTGGCTTTTAATGAAAGACAGGACTGTTGGTGAGGTATGCAGGGAATTAGTTCATTGTTACATGGGGTTGTGTCAAAGTTATTATTTTGATATATTAATGAATATGAAAAATTATTAGATATTTCTGGGAACTGTTTTATTGGGGACTGTATCAAAGTTATTCTGTGACAGTTATTATTATAGAAATATTATGTTACATTTGAGGGAAAAGTGTCATGGCTATCATTTTGTGGCATTTTAACAGATACACCAAAATGAGTAATTTAATGATAATGACAGAACTGTTGGTCCAAGCTGTTTGATATTTTCCTTTGTTAGTTTGGAAACCCTTAAAACAATATTACCATTCCCCAAATAGTTTACACGATTTTTAGTATATTCTTAATTATATAACCTGCCTTTAAAATATAACCTGCCAAAGGTATTCTTACGATGAAACCATTGATTACCGAAAAATTAGCCAGAGTTATTTATGTTATTAAATGAAACTCTACTGAGGAATAAAATAATATTAAAGATTTTAAATTTTAAAGTGTGATGTGCAAAAGAGAAGAAAACCAAAGCCAACATCTATTCTAACAAGACCTCACTTTACCACAATGTGAATACAGAGGAAAACAAAAAAGAGGGGAAAAAACTCTTATGTAAAAATGCCCTCACTTTTAAATATTAAAGGAACCTAAAGTCAAAGGGGTTTTATTCAACCATGAAATGATTCTTAAATCTCAGAATTTATATTTTTTCTTACCAAAAAAAGAGGAAAATTTTAATTTAGCCTTTAAAGAAAGAATATCAACAAAGGGCAACTACTCCTAGTTTTACTGGCATGTTTATAGTTACTGCCCTTGAATTAAATATGTATAGCTGAATTCAGTATAATCAAATATGAATAGAATTGAATAAAACGTTAAACAAATATTTTGATTTGCAACTACCCCAGGACTTATCTTAGTTTTGACATCTGTTATGAGATTTCAACTAAAAACAATGCATAGCCCCAAAATATAGTTCAACAATAGCAATGAAATAAAACCAAAAAAAAGTTTCGGGTGAAAATGATTGAGTGAACAACAAAACAATGATGTGTATTTTTCTGTGTTAACAATTGCTTGCTATTGTGACCGCACTTACCTGTGTTTTGTACTCGTCAACGAGATTCTCGTAATGTTTGAGATTTGCCCGCAGTTGCATCAATTCCTCGTCTGCCTGGGCAAATTTTGTCTCGATCGTAGTGATAGAAGACTGTGTGAAGTGTGCGATAAAAATAAAAGTGAGAACAACATATAACATTCATAGCAACAAAACGTAAAATGAAACCTTTGATATGATATGTCACATTATTAACATAATGCCGGTGAGTTTTGCTCACGGATGTAATGCAAATATGGAAACTAAATGATAATAATTGGTCTGTTGCTTGTGGTTGTAATGCACTTAACTCATAAATAAGAAAATGCAATTAAAAAAAAACGAACCATGCATGACACACAATTATCTTTGAGGCAATATGGAAAATCGAAAAATTGTTCAATCATTTAAACTAAAGACAACATTATTTAGATGTCTTTAATTAAAAACAAACAGAAAGACTGATCCCTAAGAATTCATGCTAATTTATGTATAAAGCAAACTTCATTCCAAATATCTAAATTACGTTATTTATTCATTTTTTTTCAAACTAAATTCTTTTACAGCAATGAATCCTCTTGTTTTCCAAGAATAAATCTTTGAGTAAGTAATTTTGTCTTTAATTTTCAAGTGCCTATGAACAAATTAATTGACTTCACCATAGCCTCATTTGATCATTATTTGTACTACCTTATGTAATTCATTTTGCACCATATTCTTACTCTGTTTAGATCACAGTAGTCAATGTAGTTATTTTCATAATCATATGGCCATTGTTATAAAAAATTTTACATTATACAACAGATTAAAGAACCATGTGTCCAGATTTATGCAATTTTTTTCTTGTCTTTTCTACTGCCACTCATGAAATATATAGAGGATATTTCAGTTTTTTCTATAAATACAGGATTTATTTTCATCGAGTGGTATGAAATTAAATATTTCATAAGTGGCGGTAGCCACGGATGATAATTCATACAACAAGTGGAGTATACTCAGTATATCAAAAAAAAATTTTTTTTATAAAACTGGAAATCAACATTTCTATTCATATTATAATATAATTATATGATTATAAATATTTCACCTGCAAGGAAAAAAGACAAAAAGAATCAAACATGAAATATTTGCTCTAGCATACAGCATTATGTAAATAATAATTCCTATAGCACACTGCACAATAAACCCATGCATAATATACCAAACCCATCTCTTAATGTAACATGCGGGGCACATTATTTTGGGCAACATTTGGGGCATAAAATTGATAAAATTTATTAATTAATAAGTACCTAAATTCTCACCCAATACCCTGACCAAAAAAGGTATCCAATCAAAACTATGTTGAAATTCCCTCAAAATTTATTATCTATTATTTGTACCTATCCGAAATTTAAATAATGAAAATAAATTTTGTATTAACTAGAGGATGCTTTTGTAAAAAAGCGCATGTCTCCCCCACTGCACTGTGACCTTGACCTTTGACCTACTGACCCCAAAAACAATAGGGATCATCTGCTCTATAAGACCAATCATCCTATGAAGTTTGAGGGCTGTAGGTCAAAAGGAACTCTAGTTATCATCCGGAAACGAGAAATTGACAAACGGTCACTGTGACCTTGACCCTTTGAACTACTGACCCCAAAAACAAATAGGGATCATCTGCCTCAATAAGACCAATCATCCTATGAAGTTTGAGGTCTGTAGGTCTAAAGGAACTCTAGTTATCATCCGGAAACGAGAAAATTGACCAACGGTCACGTGTGACCTTGACCTTTGACCTACTGACCCCAAAAAACAATAGGTATCATCAGCTCTATAAGACCAATCATCCTATGAAGTTTGAGGGCTGTAAGTCAAAAGGAACTCTAGTTATCATCCCGAAACGAGAAAATTGACCAACGGTCACTGTGACCTTGACCTTTGACTACTGACCCAAAACAATAGGGATCATCTGCTCTATAAGACCAATTCATCCTATGAAGTTTGAGGGCTGTAGGTCAAAAGGAACTCTAGTTATCATCCGGAAACGAGAAATTGACCAACGGTCACTTTGACCTTGACCTTTGAACTACTGACCCCAAAAACAATAGGAATCATCAGCTCTATAAGACCAAATCATCCTATGAAGTTTGAGGGTTGTAGGTCAAAAGGAACTCTAGTTTATCATCCGGAAACGAGAAAATTGACCAACGGTCACTGTTGACCTTGACCTTGAACTACTGACCCCAAAAAAATAGGGATCATCTGCTCCAATAAGACCAATCATCCTATTGAAGTTTGAGGTTGTAGGTCTAAAAGGAACTCTAGTTATCATCCGGAAACGAGAAATTGACCAACGGTCAGTGTGACCTTGACCTTTGACCTACTGACCCAAAACAATAGGGAATCATCAGCTCTATAAGACCAATCATCCTATGAAGTTTGAGGGCTGTAGGTCAAAAAGGAACTCTAGTTATCGTCCGGAAACGAAGATGGACGGACGGACGACTGACGGACTGACGGACTGACGGACACGGAACGGACGGACGGACTGACGGACAGGGCAAAAACAATATGTCTCCCCCCGAGGTGGGGGAGACATAATTACTATATACTATTAAAGAGCAAATCAATTTTGCCTCAAAACGTTGAAATGAAATGTCAAAATTTATTTACCCTGTTTAAATTTATTTATTAAAAAAAAATAAAAAAATTTGTACTATCCGAAATTTACTTAATGAAAATATATTTTGTATAATTTAATACATACTGTTTAAAAGTTAATACTATGTACTGGATCCCCTATCTAGGAGTATAATCAGATTCAACATATAATCTTTTGTCTCCTGCCCTGACATATACTAGTACATATTGTATCACTTTCCATCAATGAAACTTGTAAGTACTCCTTACCAATATTCATTCTAACAAAAGGTTTTTGTTAAAATCCTCTGCAAGAATGAGATCCTCTAACCAAATACTTGACTTTACTATCATATATTAACTTGCATAGTTGATATGACATCAAAATCAAGTCAGCAGACAACAAATATATAGCCAATACACTTTTTCAATTGACAAGGTAATCATTTTGGAAGAATAAATCTTTCCCACAAATTTGATATGACGGTACTCACAAGTTTCGTTAAGCTTAATACTATTGCACGCCTTTCACCTATACATACCTTAAGGCGTTCATTCTCAAGACTAAGGCTTGAAGCCTCGGAGCTTTTTGTGTGAACTTTGGCAGTGAGCTCTTCGATATGAGCCTTCGAGTTGTGATCAACACGTTCTAACAGTGATTCCAGCTCTTCTAACCGCCTGAAATAAATCATTAATTAATCAATCATTAATTACAAATGGAATTACATTTCGATTGCTGTCATATCAACTGTCATGTAGTTAAGAAATAATATATACCAAACAGTGATTTATCGCTCAATAACATCACTGTTTGGAGTTTGGATGCGAGGAATTATATCTAGAGGGTGTAGCCCGAGTGATATAATGATGCTAATCCGAACGACAAACAGTGATGTAATCAAGTGATAAAATCACTTATTTGGATATATTATTTCCATTCTAACATGATATCAACAAAAAAATGCTGCCGTACTTTATATTTTACTTAAATTGCACCTTATTTGTTTCCGTACTTATTTTCAGCGCATCACATTTTTAGAGGTTACGTCACAGGTATAATGATTACGTCACATGTCTAAATATAGAATGTCAAACTGTGATTTTATTGCATAATAGCACACACTTTCGGTTCTTCTATGATCAATGTGAAAAAATGCGGGTAGTGTTTGTTTGTTTGTTTTGGGTTTTACGTCACATCGACGCAGTATAGGTCATATCGTGACGTTCCAGCTTTACTGGTGGAGGAAGACCTCAGGTGCCCTTCCGTGCATTATTTCAGGCACGAACGGGTACCTGAGTAGAACCACCGACGTTCCGTAAGCTAGCTGGATAGCTTCCTCACATGAAAGAATCCAAAGTCCCTGTCGGGATTCGAACCCACAGAGGTGAGGGGCAAGTGGTTTGAAGTCAACGACCTTAACCACTCGGCCACGGACGCCCCACGCGGGTATTGTTAGAATATTGATTACTAAACAGATATTAACTTGATCCCCATTGCCTAGTTATTCAAATAATCAGTCATGTGAGAACTAATGGTTATTTCTCAACATTGTTCATATAAAGTTTCAAATCAACAATTTCTAAAGATACATTAATTTTATGATGTGAAATTATAAGAACCTTACACTGGCTGCCAATAAAGACCGGAAGGTAACTGTTAATGGCAAGTTTACCATGTAACCACTTTACAGTTACCCTGAGAACCAAATATCGCAGTCTGGTGTTTGAATTTTGTTCTTACATAATATACATAAAAAAAAATTCTTAACATAAATTAGCATGAAAACTAGTAATTTCACTTTTTATTATGTATTCCTCCCATACACCCCTTAAAAGCATTTCAATTCTAAAAATTCATTCTTATCAGCAGCATACGGTCATAACAAGCATGCAACTCATTCATTAAATGCATCAAAATGGCTTCATTTGGACCTCAGTGGAGTTCCTTTGAAGTTTTTATCAAAGAAAAGAGCAATATTGTTGTTAAATTAGAAAATAGCCTTGTTTCAAGTGAGAACCTGAAAATGAAAACAAACACCTGCCAACACATTCCAAATTAATGATTTCAAAATTTTGTAAGCTCCGCATAATTACCCAGTTAACTGCTCCATGCATTTATTTACACATTTGTAAGCATTTTCATTTGAAGCAATGGAATATTAGTATATGATGGTACAAAAAAAGCCTCATTATTTTATACACTCTGATGCAAAATATGTTCATCAAAATCTAGTACCACTACACAGGAGTTCCCTTTTACATTTAAAAATAATTCTCAAAATTTTGCACAAAAGAAAAAGCAAAATCTTATTTCTGAAGAAAATTAATAAAAGCTCCTTACTAAGAATAATAACTATAACAACAAAATTTCTGAATGCCTTTTTATATAAAGAAAAGCAAGATTTTCAATCAAGCAAGATCTTTAAACTGTTACAGTCATGGTCTATATAAATAATAAACATACAAAAGGAATCACTTTCTGATACATTTTATATATAATTAATAAACATACAAAAGGGAGGTAACTTTATAACACATTTATACTAAAATTCTTTTTGTATCAGATATAGAAAAAGTTTTTTATTACACAAAAATCTGTTTTCTACAATGGCTCAAAGCTATACACTAATCTAATCTGTTTTTCTGGGCTCTAGAACTAAAAACTCACATCTTCAGTGCTGTGTTTTCTGCTGCAGCTTGGGATCTTTCTTTCACAGACTTTTCAAGACGTAAGGAGAATTCCTCAAGTTGTACACGAGTGTCCTCTAATTTGGCGTCACGTTCCAACAGCTCTGCGGCCAACTGGTCCGCACGGTCTTCAGACTGAGCGGCTTTCTGTTTTTGAACTCTGGTTACAAGGGGAATAAGGTGATAGGATAAAAGGTTGTAGGGATTGATACAGTAATAAATCTACATAAAAATATAATTTTGTACTTTGATACACCTTTTATTGTTAAATTTCAATACACAAAAATAAAGTTTTGGCTCGATTCCCCCCACTTTTCCTCATACATCCCCAGTGATAAGGGTGGGGGCTGGGGTTGGGAGGGGGAATAGAGCTGAGGTTTTCTTTAAATTGACTGGTGCATTACACAGATTATGTAACCCGGTATAATTTATTATATATTTTAAACTATTTGAATATATTCGCATGCATTCAAATTTCATTTTAATTTCCCCTAACTATGAGGTAGCCTTATCAAAAGTGGTATGACTAATATGAAATAAATGAAATCAGCCAAGCTTTTTAAGCCGATGCAAGTAAGGAAAAGCAAAGTTAACAAGCAATTATCATAGTATTGCAAGCAATCCATAAGTCCCCTACCGGTAAGAGCCCAAGCAACATTCTGAAGGGCCATTTGCCATTCACTTATGTTCCTATTTTAAGTAAATTTGTTGAAAAAGTTCTTTAAAAGTGATCACAGGAAACAGTTTTTATGTACAGACAGACGGACTGAAGGACACTCTAAAGTTATTTTTTAAACATCCCTGTTATCAAAATATATCATTTTTAAAATCCTATCATGATTGAAGAAGTTGGAGTAAAAATTACCACTTTATCAAAAAAAAAATCTAAGTTCAAAAGGGGCATAATTCTGGAAATAGTCTTGCTAGAGTACTGGACCATCACAAATGTTGAGTGATAATAAGAAACATTTATATGAAGTTTGAAGTAGATACATTCAGAAAAAGAAGTTATTAAAAAAAAAAAAATGTTTTTTCATGAAAATTTTAAGTTCAAGGGAGGTAATTCTGAATAAATTTTGTGCTAGAGTTGTAAACCTTTGTCACATATGATGTGGTTGATTACAAGCAACTTATATTTAAAGTTTGAAGAAAATACCTTAAGAAATAAAGAACTTATAGTGAAAAAACTTAAAAAACTAGAATCAGAAATCTTGAAATTCAGTCTATTTTGTTGCCATAGCAACCAGAATTTTCAACATAAGAAGATAAGAAAAGGGTGTGCATAATTTCCATACTGCCATATACCCATATGTCAAGTTTCATAAACATATTTTCAGTACTTTTAGTGTTATCACTGGATCCAGGTTATGGTGTAAAATTTGCCATATTTTCAGTCTATTTGTTGCCATAGCAACCAGAATTTTCAACATAGGAGAAAGAAAAAGACGTGCATAATCTCCATACTGCCATCTATCCATATATCAAGTTTCATAAAAATATTTTCAGTGCTTTTTGCGTTATTGCGGGATCCAGGTTATGTGTAAAATTTGCCATATATTTTCAGTCTATTTGTTGCCATAGCAACCAGAATTTCAACATAGGAAGAAAAGAAAAAGACGTGCATAATCTCCATACTGCCATCTAAA